ATCACCTTATATTTGTGAACAATGGTGGCGTGTTGCTGTTATTCCATCGGCAGAGGCAAGAAGAGGTGGTGAAACCGTTACATTCAGAGATGCTCTTGAACAATATACACTTTCTAACAAGAAAATCAAAGAAATAGTATTGAAAAAGCTATGTCATGGCTGGAATTTAGAAGAGTTGAAGAAAAAACTTATTGCATTAGTTCGTTCAACTGGCTATGAAAATAGTATTAATGTCGTAAGTAGAAAAGTAATATCTAAATCGTAATGAAACTTGTTTTCCATTTATTTTCTAGACTTATAATAGAATCGATTATAAGATTGCTGCTCGTTCATCTTCAACATTGAGCCATTTTGCTAATTCGACTCTAGTTCGAGTTTTGTGTTACATTTCCTGCCTATGCATTATTTTTGGTCCTATTTATTGTTGTTTACGTACCATAGGTTCAACGCGAGATAATATTGTCGCCGAATATATGATGATGAAGTCTGATGATATTTTTCTTCAATTTAACGCTCAAATGATTGTTAATTCAGTGATTCAGCGTTCATATAATTCGTATATAGCACATTTTACCTAATTATCGTATTATTCTTTTTATTGGTTTAATGATTTGAGTGAAGGAAATGATTTTTAAAATACATTCGAAAATATAAATAAGGAAATTTATTTTCCATAGTTTGTTTGATTTTACCCAAAATCAATGGAAATAACAAACGAGAGAAATAAGTTTCTTATTCGATGAAACTTTATCCAAATTTTTCTTGAAATAAATGATAGAATTGACATTAATCAAGGTAAGGTGTCGAGTGTGAGTGGGTGTGGGGCGTAGGTGTGTGGGTGTGGATGTAGAAAGAAACAAATTAAATACCCCACACCCACACCAGCACACCCACACCCACACCCACACACCCACACCCACACCCACACACCCACACCCACACCCACACCCCACATCCCACACCCACACCCACACCCACACACCCACACCCACACACCCACACCCACCCACACCACACATCCACACCCTTTTGGGTACCCCTAAGTAATACAATGACGTTTATAATAGATATATATGCTTTCGTTTATCATCAAGTATAGCAACATTGTTGGGTGTGGGTATTGATCTGAACCTTCTTTTCACTCACAGTTACACCCACATTCAATACTCGAAAAAGTGCGATCTCATTAGCATTTCTTCTTGCCAGCACAATATATAAATGTCTACTACAACTAATTCGTCCCTTAAGCATGCAATTCGTCGAGGTTATGTATCGCATTTTCGACTATCCCAACATCTGTACAACGCTTTTTCCCCTTCGCCACGTATGCGATTGTTTTATACTTTGCCTCATATCTAAAATCGGCACATAACGGACTTCAGTTTAGTTTATTCCATGAAAAGAATGGAAAAAAAAGATAATCAGCCTCTATGGACAATTTGATTTTTGGCAAGTTTTATTCCCAGGATTATACTTGCACTGACCTTTGCACGTATATTCTGCTTTACAGTTGCCTCCATCTCGTCCGAATTTATTTGCCCTTTGATCTGCCTGACTGTCAGCCGAGCCATCATCTTGAGCTTTTTCACGACAATCGCTAACTAAAACAAAAAATAAAATAGGTAAACTCACAGTTGACTTCAAGGTAACATAATGAGTCACTTTTTTTCTGCAATTCGTCGATTTTCAGTCGTATTTCCACAAACGTAAACAGCATCATAGTTTCCCTGACAATGAAAGTATTTGTCACAGTTTTTACAATTAGCATTCGTCATTTCATTGTAGCGGGCCTTCAACTTCTCAGCCGGGCACGAATTAATATCCGTACCGGCGCACAAAAGAAATTTCAGCCAATTCATTGAGTTGGATTCCGGAACCATCAATACAAAACATAGTCCTATCGGAAGAATGGCAAGACGCATGTTGTCGTATGCTAGTTGGCGTGTGTTTGCTAAAAGTAAACTATAATAGTTACTGAGCCGATATGATGATTTAATGAACAATAGGTTTTTTATTGCATCTACTCCTAGTGTGAGTCACACTTTTACGTTGCTTCATATGTGCGACCAAGTGAAGCTTAGCTTTCGATTTTAAGTGAATAAACTGAGAAAATGTTGATTTGTATAGCGTTTATTTCACCTTCTCATGGTTGTTATAGTACCCACGTGCGTCACCCTTAACCTCTTGAATACCGCTTGTCTTCAATTGAAGACATACAGAACGAAAAAATTTCTTTTTCGTTCTGTCGTGTCAATATACAGCTGTGAAACGACATGTTCATTGGCATAGCTATATCGATCCATGTTATATATACGACAAAATATGCATGAATACAGCTGATATAAGAGGATGGAATGCAAGAGAGAGTGATTTTTCGATTTTTCCATATAATTGTAGAGAACGCAAGAATCATCGGTATCCATCAGGTTAAAGCTGGAAGTGACTAATGTTTATTATCGCACACTCTGAAATAAAGTTGTTTTCTACGTCGTAATTAATGTTATCAAACGTATGGCGAAGAAAAGAAAGGAAACTCAAAATAGACTTAATTGCTTCCATCGAATCCGAAAGACGAAAAATGAAATATGATCGATAGTTTTCGATGAAAAAGCCCATTTTTCACCGAAAATCATCGATGATGTTATTCTATTCATTTTTTAAGCCGATAGACTTTCTTCTCATATTGAATCATGTTTGCTCGGTTTAAGTCAAAAGTATTAGGGCGAAAGGAATCAATCCATGTTCTACGTCACCTGTTCGTATGTTAACGGGATTATTCTCCTTTCCGGACCCGAAATTTTCCTATTTTTCATTTTTTGTTTTTACTGCTCTGCATGTGCTTTCAGGGATCCTATATCTACTGGTCACATTTTGAGAACTCAAATATAGCTCTAAATCAAAAATAAAATCAAAAAGATAAATCGATTGCCGTAGGGATATAGCACGACTTTTTCTTTCTTACGGAGTTTTCTAGCAATTAGTTTTTCAAGCAGAAACCTACAACACCGCTCCCATTTCTCAGGCATAGTAAATCCAATTAGGCCAAAATGTTTCAACAAGTAGTAGAGACAATTTAGGGCGACTACATTTTTTCGTTTTGAAAAATATCGTACCCCTGAGTTTTGGCAGCTCTTACGAGACAAGGGTGGGGCGTGGCTGGGTTTGTGGGTTGTTCAAGATAGGATAAATACCCACATCCATATCCATACCACACCCACACCCACACCATAGCCTGAGTTATGTTCTATAACATCGCTGTTATCTTATAAACCTTCTTTCTAGACTAAAACAGTTCAGTCACCAATCATCTTAGAGTCTTAGGCATACCATTTGTTTCTAACAGACTTATTGACAGATCCTCATCACGCGACTTTTGAATGATTCAGGTCTCTCTTGTTCATGCGTGATCTTTAAGCTCATCTTGCCTGCACCTGGTTATTTGCATAAAACATGTGTAAATAGAATAAGCATTGTTCTCTTTTTTTCTCATTCAATATCATTTATTTGAGAGAGAAGAGAAGCCAAAAAGAATTAGTTGTCCATCTATTCGAGGGAAAAACGTTGAACACGACCATTACCTCGATCGACAACATAGAGATTGCCATAGCGATCTAATGACAAACCCTCTGGGTACTTGAACTGATTGGCTCCGTTTCCTTCACCATTCCCTCCCACAATGACAGTTCCCTGTTTTTCCCCTGGAGACCAACGAATCACACGATGATTCCTGGAGTCTGCCACATAGACAGTACCAAGTGTATCGATGAACAGTCCTGCAGGAGAAAATAGCTGTGTTAAAGCATTTCCTGCGCCTTGACCACCAGCGACGATAATTCCTTCTTTTGCACCTTTATTCCATTTCATCACACGATGATTATCTCGATCGGACACATATACAGTTTCTTGCCTATCGACAAAAACATAGGTCGGATAGTTGAGTTGATTGAGACCAGCACCACGAATATTGCCGCCAGCTACAACAGTTCCGTTCTTGTCACCTATTCTATATCGCCTTACTTCATGTTTGTCGAAATCGGAGATGTAGAGATTTCTCGCATCATCAATAGCCAAACCGGTACAAAATATGTAGTTTATGAGAATTTCTCCTTCAGTCGTGCCACTACGACGAGACCATCGCATGATTCGCCCCTTTCCGTTATCACATATGATAACATCATTCGTCTCTTTATCAATCAAAGCTTCCGTCGGAAAACCCAATTGGTTCAAGCGAATCCCTTGGCCATTACCACCAGCAACTATTTTTCCATTTGTCTCGTTCATTTTCCATTCGTAGACAGAACTCCTGACGGAGTCAGAAATGATCATCGTTTGATCATCTTCGATGAACAGGCCATAGGGACTTCTGAGTCCTTGAGCTACAGTAACTGCATTCTGTGTCCATCGAGCATTGACTGAAATATAGGGTATGATTACAATAAACGACAAAACAAAAGTACATAACACATGGTATGTAATTTTCTTTGTCTTCAAAGAGATCTCTCTTTAGCATAAAGATGGACGCTGATGAAACTACCTATGAAGTCGTCTTTGTCTTCTTTCTATTGAAAGGAAGAGAATTTGCATCTATTTTTCTTAATATTGCCAATAGGTCGACAGGAAAAGTATTCTTTTGTCTAATGATGATATGAAAAAGAAAAAATTTATTTTTTTCAAGTGAAAGTCAACGTCTTCTTGATTCTTTTGAGACATCTTGATCGTCGACAAGATAGAGCAATGTGAATTGACGAGAATCATTATGTTTTCACAAAGGATTTCGATCAAAGTTCTGTGATCACGGACAAAATACATTCGGAAGATGATTGTATACTGGGCAAAGAAAAGATCCATACTCACTCATCGATGGTTGGTTTTAGCATCGAAGAAGCTAGTCTCAGCTAATTGAAAGATTTAACACAAAGGAACTCGTGAGAATGATAGAAAAATTCGAGGAACAAGCAATGAACATTCTACTAATTGGAATTGAAGACGAATGCAAGTTTGCAAAGCTCAAAATCATTGGCTAATCTCGTTTTAGATTCACCTAGCTCCCAATGTTTTCGAGTTCAGATTGTCTTGTTTGAAGGAAAAGTACATAGAATTAGGTCTGAACAGTCCTATTTGTGGAGATCCGCTAATGAATTTTCATAGAAACTATACGTAGATGCACATTTCGATAGTTTCCGATGCAACATTTAATACAGCTTTTTTACTGCATCCAGAGATATTATGTTTGTTAAAATGCTTGTTCGTTTGATGATAAATTTGTCTTATTTAACAGAGAAGAGAATTCCACACAAAGTCTAATATGAATCATCCACCATTAGTGTACATAAAGTGAAATTATGTTAAGAAAGTAGAGTTTCAATCGATATTTCAGATTCGCCATGAAAATTAACACTTCCAAATCGTTTACCAAATGGCTTTACGATAAATTTTCTTCTTAAAGATGTGATGTCAATTGTACACAGATTACATGCTGATCTCAGTTTCGTCTCGATGACCGAAATGCATACATAGCAAACATTCACAATCAACTTAGATCGATTCTGAAAAACCATTTCATAGTTTTCATCTTGCATAATATAAAAATACTATCTTTTTCTCACATAGCATCAAACATATCGTATTTTTGGGTAGTATTTGTTCTCCGGAAAACTATATCGGCATCTAGCTCATGAATAACTGCTTTGAATCCTCAATACGAAAATTCTTTAATAAAAAGAATTTTACAAGCGTTTTGTAAGTAATAAAGAAGTCTGAAGTTCAAATAGACACTGCCACTTCTATTATTTACTCTGAGAAAATGTTGACCGGTAAACTATACCAGCGTGTATCCTATCCAACACGGCGTTGAATCCTCAGACAGAAAGTCCATTATAAAGCCATTTTATAAGTGGATTGGAAGCCTAAACTTTCGTGACAAATTTGAAATATCAAGTGAAACTTTATTTTCTCACCATAATTTCATCTTATGTTGAATATTATTCAATGGTTCTTACTAGACTTCGTGCAAAATTCTGCGCTCTTTCAAATGAGACTATTTATAACCAGACGAACAAACATTTAGTCAAATTTAATCTTTCTAGAAGTCGGAAAACTGGTGTATAAAAGTTTACGTCGAAAATCATTGAGTCACTTCCATATGTACCTCCCTGCTTTGAAAATATACCTAGAACAAATGCTCTCCATCAACGAACGACTTATGAAAGAAAGAAAGATGATTGACTCTGTGAAAGTCGTTCGTATACGATAACCATGACTCTACTCAAGAAAATATTACAGATAGGATTCTACTTCATGAGAGACCCTGTATTAATTAAATATTATTGAGAATAGGTCCCATGAGTCAATTGTCTTGAAAATTATTGAAATTTTCATTAATTAATCATGATATTTGTGCAAAACCTAGGTTTGTTGTCACAGTTTCATAGTTGAATGAGACTTTCTTCTCTAATCCTTTATTCTCTAACAAGGGAACATTCCCAGGTGCCCATTCACTTTTGAGTTGGGACTTTACACATCTTGTAGACCTTAGTGAACTATATCTACCATGAAAAGATTTCGTGCCCATGGCGTGTTCGTGGCGAGATATCGAGTTTTCAGTGAATTTTTCTATAGGATCCCACTTTTGCAGCAAAGCTATGACGTTGAATTTTGACCTGAAACTTTGCCCATATAAAGGCCTCAGCTAGACTAGCTTGCAAAAAAAATTTTAGAAGTTTTGGATAAAGTCTCTCCGAGCTAGGAAGCTTTCAAAAAATGCATATTATATATACTATCTATGAAAAAGGGTTTGTACCTTGATAGTTCTACATCTCGGAGAAACTTTATCCAAAACTTCTAAAATTTTTTTTGCAAGCTAGTCTAGCTGAGGCCATTATATGGACAAAGCTTCAGGTCAAAATTCAACGCCATAGCTTTGCTGCAAAAGTGGGGACCTATAGAAAAAATTCACCAAAAACTCGATATCTCGCCAGGAACACGCCATGGACACGAAATCTTTTTATGGTAGATATAGTTCACTAAGGTCTACAAGATTCGCAAAGTCCCAACTCAAAAGTGAATGGACACCTGGGAATTTTCCCTTGTAAGTTACATTTTTCATTAATATCAGAGATTTATGGTTTTTAAATTATTGCAATATTTTAAACGTTGTTTATGTGTATTACTATCGAAGATCACTTATAGCACGCTCTAGTATATTTATGGAAACGTTAAGTTTTCGTAGTTGTCTCATATATATATATTGAGATAGGTGCCTGAAATGCACATAGATTGTCATAATTTGTTTTTTGGATCTATTCTAACGTTTCTCGTAAATCATGAACTGATGAGACTTTTATTTATCTTATGTCATTCGATAATGAAATGTTTACTCATTCTCACAAACTCAAACAAAGCTATTTGTGTTCATGATAGCCAGACAAGAGTACGATGAAGTTTCGAGAATAAATTTATACTGTAATCTCTGAAATCAAATGATTCTTTTAATGTTAGGTGAAGCACTTGTTTTTGTTAAGATGCATCATGTGCTTAAACATTAAACAACAAAGAATAATCGATTTCATTTTACGCATTAAAAAAAACCACAAGCCAGAGTTCGATAACGATGGGAAATGGCTAGCATCGATATTAACATGATTTGATTTGTTCTTAGAAGAAGAACTGAACAATTCATATTATAAAATAGTTGACGTTATAACTATCACCCTCAACTAGTTATACAGTAATATGTTGCAGAGACAGCGAAGCCCTTAGACTTTGGAAAGCTCAGGAATTTGGAAAAATTTTAAAGATCTCATCCTGAGTTTATATTTAGTAAGCGAAAAGTCTTTGAACAAGAGTATGTTCAGCCGGATGTTAGATAGCGAGATAGGCGGCGAAACCATCAGGCTTGCATAGGCTCATGCTCAAGAGGAACGCTTGGAGAGACTCGATATTTGAGAAAATTTTACGAATCTCATCCTGACTTTATACTAGATGTACCAAAACGTTATCAACATAGTTTATATTGTAAATATTTTTGCATGCACAGATGCTAAAATCTTGATTTTTTTTCAAAAGATGCCTTGTCAATGGTTTCTAAAATAATTATTAAAAAATCCTGTTGACTTTCTCTGATGGATTTTAGAAAACTGAAAGAAAAGATCTATAAAATATTTTACTTTCTTTTATGTTAGAATTAGCAAACATAGTTGAAATAATATCTATTTTTCATTTATTTTTGCATGAAGAAATGATAAAAACTTGAATTAATTTTAAAGATGTGTGTCATTAAACTCTCCACAATATTCAGAGAAAAGATTTGGGGTGTGGGTGAAATCGATCTGAAGAGGGAAGTGCAATAAAGATGTGCAAGACAATATAAATTTTCATCATAACAGTGGACTGAACGTTCCAAAAATGGCATAATGAATATTAAAATCCAGTTGAATGTACAAAAACGTAGGACTGAATACAATTATACTAGAAAAGTAATCTGTTTCGTGTTCGAAAATCGTCTTAAAGAATTAAAAGTGAGCAATTAAGGGATTATTCATTTAAATAGATGGATAAAATTAATTCAGAAGAGTGAAAAATTGTAGTATTCTGTACATCTTTGCTTCTAGCCCTCTCAAAATTGATTAAAACATGTCAAGAAAAAGTATTGCTTATTTAAAAAAGATTTAAGTTTCTAGAATTTTTTGTGTGCAAATACATAAGAAATAGATATATTACAAATATTTTTATTACTTTCAATATAATGGAAAGTAACAATATTTCATATATCCTTTCTTTCATTTTCCTAAGAACTCATCAGAAAAAGTCAACAAGACTTTGTGATGTAGTTATGGTATAAAATTCAACAACAACTTCGATGTTTCATTTATTCGGAATTTTTCTATAAGTCTCGGTATTCATTTCATCGTGAAACGAAAGAAATGAAGACAAAGACGGGTACCTGATTGAAGGCGATGATAGACAAGACTTCGGACGAAGATCAGTTGAAAGTGAGAGCTCACTTTTCAAAACCATAGATTGTGTGCAATACGATCTGGAACAAAAGTTGAAGTGTATAGGTAGAAATTTGCACCCACTAACCTGCACTTCCTCCCCCTGCAGACGTGACAGACACCATAGTATTTGTTCATATACAATAT